GTGGGGAAAGGCGGTCTCTTAGGTAGGCAGGCCCCTGACCATAAAGGGCTTTAAAGGTCAAAACCAGCACCTTGAAGCGAATCTGGAACACTATTGGAGCCAGTTTGGAGAGCCAGTTTGGTGTAGTGGTTAAGTGTGCGGACTCTAATCTGGGAGAACCGGGTTTGATTCCCCACTCCTCCACTTGCACTTGCTGATGTGACCTTCGGTTAGTCACAAGCTCTGGCACAGCTGTCCTTGAGAAAGAGCAGTTTGTGTCAGAGTTCTCTCAGCCTCACCCACCTCACAGGGTGTCTGTTGTGGGGAGGGGAAGGGAAAGGAGTTTGTAAGCCGCTCTGAGACTCCAAGTGAAGGGTGGATGTGCTCCCACATGGGGAGGCCCATCAGCAGCCTGGCCGCAGCATTCTGCACCAGCTGCAGCTTCCAGAGTTGCCCCAAGGGCATCCCCATGTAGAGAGCATTACAGTAGTTCAACCTCGAGGTGACCATAGCATGGCTCACTGAAGCCTGATCATTGCGTTCGAGGAAGGGGACCAACTGCCTAATCAGTCGGAGATGGTAAAAGGTGGTCTTGGCAGTGGCTGCTACGTGGGCCTCCATTGTCAGGGAAGCATCCAGGAGCACTCCCAAACTCCTGACCCTCGGCGCTGGCACCAGTGACACCCCACCAAAGGCCAGTAGTGGGACCCCTAACCCGGAACCGCTCCGATTCAGGCATAGGACTTCCGTCTTCGTCGGATTCAATTTCAGTCAGCTCAGCCTCAGCCATCCTGCCACGTCTTGCAATGCCCGGTCCAGATCTTGCAGGGTAGAGCCAGACTGACCGCCCAACAACAGATAGAGCTGGGTGTCATCTGCATATTGGTGACACCCCAGCCCATGCCTCCGGGCAATCTGGGCAAGGGGGCACATATAGATGTTAAATAGCATTGGGGAGAGCACTGCCCCTTGTGGCACTCCACATATTAGTGGGTGCCTTTGGGGCAGCTTCTCCCCAAGTGCCACCCTTTGTCCCCGACCTTGGAGAAAGGATATGAGCCATTGCAAGGCAAGCCCCCGAATCCCCACGTCGGCAAGGCAGTGGGCGAGCAGCTGATGATTGACCATGTCGAACACGGCTGACAGGTCCAACAACAGCAGCACCGCCGTCCCGCCCCGATCCAGATGCCTCCGGAGGTCATCCGTGAGGGCAACCAGTGCTGTCTCCGTCCCATGGCCCGAGTGGAAGCCAGACTGGAAAGGGTTCAGCGTGGAAGTGTCATCCAGAAAGATCCCTACCATGACAAGCAATACTTTAAAAGTAGTATGGGAAACTGAACTGCTGATAGTGATGATGAGGTAAAACTTCATTGCTCCGGATAAAGTTTAGTAAGGAGCTGTGGGTTTTGAGGGCATTTGAAAGAGGAGAGTGGAGTCAGTGATATGGAGGGTAAAGATGTTAACTATACAAGGAACAACATAAAAGGAAGAGTGAGAAAACAGAAACAGTATGAAAGGAATGCGTAACATTTTGTACCCTTTCCCATGCTCTTGGAGATGATACCTCGCTTTGTCTTTTGTCCTTTAGGGAGGCAAAGTCTGCTAATACATTGAGCAAGGCATTCTTGTTAGTGGTGCCCATGCAGTGGAACAGTCTTCCAAAAGAGTTTTGCCAGTCCACATTGTTATTGTTGTTTGTCTGGAGGGTAAGGTCTTTTAAAAGCCTCCCCATCATAGTTCTTCAAACTAGTCCTGTTTTTTAATAGGGATTGTTAAAAATGGCTCTTTCTCCATTTTCTATCATATGTTTGAAGGGATTGTTACAATATTATGTGAACTTTTGTTTAATGATATGCTACCTTGAGGATCTTGTGGAAAAGGGACTGAGAAAGATAACTGAGAAATAACTAGGGATAATAGCATTTGTGCATTTTGGACATCCTTTATATTACCTGCAAAATGTTTCATTTTGGTACCTTCCATTCTCCCTTGCTTTTCCTTCGTTTTGTCATCTTTTTGATCTTACAAATCCAGGTCCTGTGAGAAATCAGACGGTATGAAATATGAAAATTGCTTGGGAAGTAATTGGAGAAACACTGAGACTTATGAAACCCATGGAGATAATGCCCGCACCTACTTATTCACAATATTTAATTTTTAATGGCAGTTTTAATTAATGGAGCAGAGGTCTTCAGGTTTTTTCAGAGGCAAGCCGGAGACAGCAGGGAGCTGCGAGGTGTCATGTCGGCTTGTGGGGCAGGGAAAAAAGGGTGCCATGAAAAAATCTGTGATCTCTACATTGTTGACAGGAGGTTTGGTGTGTGTGTGTGTGTGTGTGTGCGTGTGTGAAACTAAAATTGACCATTATGTAGCACATAAGCAAATAAAATCACTCTTCAGCTTGCTGCCAAAATGCATTTTGAGGTGAGGGCTCATCTTTGATTTGTCTGTTCCTGAAAGAGATTTTTTTTTAGTCAAAACCTGTGAAAACAATTCCCTGCCGTGGGTTCTTTGTGTAATGCATAAAGATACATCTGACAATAATGCTTTCATGTAGTAAATTTGAAAGGAAAATCAAAGCATGCTTATATAAACCTATTAATTTAGAAGTCTGTAAGGAAAGTGGTATTGGTGGAGGGGGAGCACAGAAATCTGGATGTGTTCTGGGTTTTTGCAAGATGGGAATGGACAGCTTATAACAAAATTGCAGATAGAATGAGTGGCTTTTTACATTCAAGTCCCATCTTCCTAAGTGCCATGACAAAATGTTGCAAGAGAACAAGAGCAACACAGGATGAAAGTTTTTTGGGGGTGGGGGTGGGGGTGCTTTGTAGTGAAAATTAAAACTTGAAATGATACATTATACCATCAGGAATGGACAGGGTATCCAGAAAGGAAAGGAAATTCAATTATTTTTTCCTCCATGCTCTTGCCTTATTCTCCCCTCCCCTTTAAATTGATTATTTAGCTTTACATTTATCTGTGTAGCACCGTTAAGAAGCAAGCGGCAGAGTAAGTATTTGCTCATGCCATTTGTTTTTGCTGTCCAGACAGGAGTGCTAAAAGTGGCTCTGCACTTGATAGGTCCGTTTGCTTGGCACGTGCACACGTGGGCGTTTTAAGGCTGTAGGTCTGCCATTCACACTAAGAAAAGAGGAGAATGAGGGGAAAAAGGTAGGAAGCCCCTGAATGACAGGAAAAAGGGGGTACTGAGTACCAGAGGCCTAAGAATAGTTGTAGAATGTATAGAAAGGAATATTGGAGGTGCATATATATTTCAAGAATGGCAAAGGTGTGAAAAAATGATTATAATTGCAAAATTATGAAAAACATAATATGCCTACAGTAGCAATAAATAGGAACAGTATCAAGACGTTTGTTTACAATTTTAACAGTTACAAGTGTGTGTGTGTGTAGATATATATATTTGATTAGTTAGCTTTACCCTTATCTATCTGGCACTGTTAAAAAGCAAGCTGCAGAGTATTTGCTCATACCATTTGTTTTTGTTGTAGATATTTTTGTTGTAGATATATTTGTGTATATATATTTTGTCACACACCTTTGCAATTCTTGAATTATATATACACCTTCAGTATTCCTTTCTATACATTCTACAACTATTCTTAGACCTCTGGTACTCAGTAACCCCCCGCCCCTTTTTTCCTGTCATTCACACTACCTATTTACTGTAGGAATCTCATGACAAATAGTTTCAGATGGAATTACTTTTCAGTGACCACAGGTCCTCTCATCTGAACTTATTTATTTATCACATTTTTAAATATTGTCTCCCCGCCCCAAAGGAGCTCAGGGTGGCATGCGTGCTGCCCACTCTTATCTTTACAACAGTTCTGTAAGGTAGGCTAATCTTAGAGACTGCTCTTGATCTATTTAGTGTTGCAGGTAAGCAGAGACTTTAATCCGTGTCTCCCTGGGCCAAGTCCAGAGTTATCTGCTGAGCTGCAGTTGCTGACCAGTTCAGCTTCACTGTGATAGAACAGAACATTTACTCAATGCATATCGACATAAGGGTAATAATTGCACCACTGAGTGAAATGAAAGCAATACTACCTTAATTATATTGTGAACCGTGTTCTGATCTATAGGTTATGCAAGAAGTAAAAAGTCTTGGGGCCATGTTAACAAAATCATGTGCTTCAAGGTCATAGGACATTCTAGTAAGTAACCCGCCCTCCATCTTTTTAGTCCCTGTTCTTTGCAGAGCCAGTGATGTGGAAGATCTTAGATATTATTTGCTGTCTTGTAACCTATTGGGTAGAAAAGAGCTGCTCTCTGCTGATTTTGGTGGGATTTCTTACAGGGCTATTTGTTACAAAGTGAAGTTGCTTGACTTGGGTTTTGTTTGTCTATTGTTCTTTGCTGTTGCTTTTCATTATTTATTAGACTTCTATCCTGCTCTTACATTGGGCTCCTGCCTCCCAGGAGGCTCTTGTCTAAGGGACTGATAAGTTAGCATTTCCCCAGTGGTGTTTCTTCAACACCTTATACTGTGCTCGTAAAGCTGCAGTGGCCATTGCCAAGTTCAAATGGAGTTTAATAAAAACAAATGTAAGAAATCTGTGTTTGTTTGTTTTTTTAAAAGCTTGGTTTTTTCCCATTGACCTGTGTACTTTTTAATGCTGATTTGGGGCTTTGGCCCTTAGTAGGCCCATGGATCTTCAAGTATAAACCCGATCTCTACAAGAAGGCGTAGGTGGTTGCTAGGGAAAGCATATCTTGCTGGATCTCTTTCTGTTTGATTCCTGGGTTTGTTTGATTTTGACTGAGGTCGTCTCAACTTGCTTCTTCCTTGACAGTTCAATAAGGATGACACCATAGTTCCTGCACATGCTTGTTGATTGGTAGTGAGGAGTATTAGCTTACCTATCCTTCCATTTTTTTCAAGCATGTTCATTTCTGAGGGTGCCAGTTTAACAATTTTCTGTGCTGTATAGTTTAAGAAACTTGGGACTAAAAAGTGGTACTTGCTGAGGGAGGTTTTTTTTCTTAATTTCCAGAATGCTGACATCTACAAGATGACTTTGGAACAATACCATGAGGCAGTCACCAATGCAGAAGATCAGATCAGGTAAGAGCTCTTAGCTTGGTTGCTTATGCTGCACCCCTGGTGCAAAAAAGCCTTAGGCTTGCTTCCATGAGAAGGTAGCTACATCTTTTGGGAGATGTGACTTCACATCTAATCTCTGAATCTCAGAGCCAGGAGGCAACGTCAGGGGAAGGCCTCATCCTCGATGTCCTGTTGTTGGCTGCCCAGAGGAACTGGTTGACCACTGTGTGAGACAGGATGCTGAACTAGATAGATGATCTGATCTAGCCATGCTCTTCTTATGTTCTCTGAACACATATGTCTTCTATACATGTCTTGATGGAGTTTCAGGACCAAGGACCAATCTGCTCTATTGTAATCGTTGCTGTTCCATAGCTCATATCCAGTGGTAGATAAAAATAACAGAAGGAGGGGGGTGATCTTTGCTTACTCTTGTCTTTCACTGCAGACCCCCAATCTGCCCCTCGTACTGGTTTTTAGGGTCTTCCCAAGGAACAACATTTCAGGCCACGGTGGGATGAGGAAGCAAGGACGTCCAGTTCCGCTAATGGAGGTATCGCTGGATCCAAGCCAGTTACTCTGTAACTGGAGTCAGCCAGAATAGTCCTGCTGCCTTTGTACAGTGCTGGAAGAATCTATAAGATGCATAGGAAGGATCCTTTGCCATCTCCCTGGGACTTTGTTAAAATCTCTGGCGGGGCTTGATTTTGTGTGCTGCCACCCAGGTCTGGTCAGAGGAGGAAACAACAGCAAAGAAGCCTCAACTAGACCAAAGCTGGCCATTTGGTTTGCTGCAACAGTTGAGCCCTGTTTTATACCTTGTCCCTTGGAGTGGCAAAATCAAATAAACCGATAGGAGCCTGAGCAATTCTGTGACTTTTCTTCTTGTGCTAGAATGGCACAACAGCCAAATGCATGGTGACAAATCAGACATTAAGTATTAATTAACAGAATATGTGTCTTAAAACCCTATTTTTATCTTGACATAAAGACTTTTTTGATATTTTGCTCCTTCTTTTTGTCACTTAGATAAATGTTTTGTATTCTAAAATTTCTGTGATGGTGATGTCTAACAAGGTATTCTAACAGAGGGGATGTAATCTCCTCAGAGGAGTCTTTATTAGCAACATAAATAGTAAGACCACAGTCTACAGTTTCATAAACAATTGGCTGGGATAAAATGGAGAGTGATGGCCAAGCTAGAACAGGTCTTGGTTGCATAATATTATCTGGATATTTTGTTGGTTTAAAGCTCTACATGGCTTGGGAGGGACTTGGCTTTTGAAGGTCCTTTAAAGCCCCACCTGTCTTGGGACCAGGGAATCTGAAGAACTGTCTTCTCCCATATGCTCCTGCCCAGGAGTTAAGACCACAGGGAGAGGCCTTCCTGACTGTCCCACCAATTAAAGGAAGGCCTTTTTGGTGGCAGCCCCACAATTATGGAACCACCTCCCCAGGGAGGTGCACCTGACCTCCTCACTGTTGATCTTCAGAAGGCAGCTGAAGGCAGTTTTATTTATAACTGCGCTTAATTGATGTATTCTTTATTTATCAGCAGTCCTAATTGGAATTTTTAAATTGTGGCCCTTTATGTATTTTTGTGTTGTTTCATTTATATTGTTTTATTGTGGGTTTGGTAATCATTTTATTTATATTATAGGCCTCCTTGAGTTACACAAGGGAGAAAGGCTGCTAATAGAAGTTTTAAATATAATTAATAAAATAAATAGGTTTACATTTACCACAAAAGTTTTACATATATACTATCTGTCTTAAGTTGTATTGGCTTCTGGTTAGGGTTGCCAGATCCAGGTTGGGAAACTCCTGGAGATTGGGGGTGGAGCCTAGGGAGGACAGGGCCCTGAGTGGGCTACAGTGCCATAGAACCCACCCTCTAAAGCACCCCTTTTCTCCAAGGGAACTGATCTCTATAGTCTAGAGAGCTGGATTTCCTGGGGATCCCCAGGTCCCACCTGTAGGCTGGCATCCCAACTTCTGGTTGTGACTGTGTTGTTGAGTTGTCACTTTTGAATTTGCTTGGACAACTGGGTAGCAGGCATGGTGGACATATTGCTGTTCGAAAAGAAAACACTATTGCCCTCCCCATTAACCAAACTTGCTGATACATTGTGTACATTTTTAGATGCGCTCTTAAAAACAGCAACAAAAAGTTGTCATTGGAATAAATACTTCAAAAGCAGTGATTAAGTTATGACATTTCCCCCCTCCAGTTGTCTTCAGTCTTGGAACACAGGAAGAGGGTACTGAAGCCAAGTATGTTTCCAGAACTATGTTGCTACTGGCCAAGAAAGCACAATAATTAGAAATATGCAAGTTCTTTAGGATTTCCTACAGGAAGAGATTAAGATCCTAGGCTGCGTCCTTTATCGGCTGTTGTATGTTTTGCCACGGCTTTTTTTTTTAATGAAGGGCTTCAGTTGCATTCCTTTGAGGATTTATGTGGTCTGTCCACATTTTCTTACTAGATAGAAATCTGCCATGTGCATTGATGTCTGGTATAAGAAGCTGTTCTCCAAAAAGTCAGGATTGTTAATGACTCCCTGACAATTTAGCAAGAGTATTTCAAGCATGGTCTTAGAAAGCTCCCCTCAAGCCCATCCTGCTCCACACCTTTTGGCAACAGTTGCCAAGTGTCACTTCCAGGCGTCTAATTTGCACTCCTGAACGGTGCTCTTCATTAGAAGCACGAAAAGATTCAGTCAACACTACACTATAATCGTTCTGGCCTCCTTGTATCTCACTGCCTGCCCATTCTTTTATATCACCAACTATTTATTTTCCATTACTAGCCAGGTGATCTTCCTTCCGGTGGGGTTTTGTCGTAGCACAGTTTGCTCCCTTTGCAGAAATTAATCCTAGTCTACAGTTCAGAAACAGCTACAGATTAGAGGGGACGTAAAGCAGCGTCACGTGTTCAATCCTAATTTTGCTCCTCTGAATGTCTTCTGACTTCTGTGCACGGTTTGGATGGGAGGCAATTGTTTCGCCCTTGTCCTCCGTAGAGAAACCTCAATTCAATAGGATTTGATTGGCACAGATTCTTGAGTAGTGGTGGTGTTCTTTTGTTTACTTCTCAAGTAGTAGCAATATGCACACTTTCTCACTTTAAACACATTCTTCTATGCAGAAAATACATAGCCAATAGAAGACGTAAATGTTAGATCCTGTTTCACTATTTGATAACAGCGTTTGAACTGATAATTCCAGAAGTGATCAGGTTTGGTTTATCACTGCAGCCATTTTATTTTTAAGATTGGGAATATTTATTTTAGGGCTTCTTTTTTTTTTTTTGGTACTGTTAAAGCATCATAGGGACATCTTAGGAACTGTCCAGATAGAAAAGGAATTCCTGGGTGTTTTCTCTGGTTATTTGGGGCCATCTTTAATATTTTTCTGGCTGACTGTCCTAGGTCATTTATAGTTTAATGTTGTACTTTTCTAAGGAGTTCTACCCTGCATCCAGCAATGATAGTGACTCTGCTCTTGTTTAACATCATCCATCGCTTTATATTGGGATTGACTTGGCATGAGTCAAAATCCCAGCAACTGATTTTGTCAACAACCTTATTGCAACCTCTGATTCACCTGTTTAATTTGAAAACATTAGTAAGTGGGTTCAGGAGCCATTGTCCATAATTCACAGCATAACTAGACCCTTAGAGGACTGCGATTGACCCCCTCAACATAGTTCTTCCCATTGACTTTGAACAAGGCTCTCCTGGTATAAAAGGGTCATTGAATTGCCCTCTTCATATCTCTTGTTCAGCAGAAGAGTTGGGACTAGCTCCTAGCCTTATGTTCAGTTCACATAAACACAGCTGTTATTACAAAAGGTGTGATAGGAAATGAGTTTCCTTTCTGCCCAGTTCTGATGCCTACCGCCCACTTGTCATTACTCATGATGAACTACCAGAACAATACTCTGTCTCCTTGCACACACACACATTTTTTGCCATCTTTTTCCAGACACCATCTTTGTATGTGTCATTTACAGTGCTCAGATACACTAGAAGCAAAATTTTCTCAACAGCAAGCAGCAAGTCCTGTTTTTCGAAAATGAAACGGCAGCATGAGAAGAAGAGGGACGAATTATGGAGGTTGTTTCCTTGGCATTGCTAAGCTTCTGTAGCATCCCTTTCCATTCATTTTCTAGTCCCCTCGACCATCTGCAGCTCTGGCACAAGTGGCCTAGTGCATTAAAGGGTTTTTATTTCCTCTGAATGAATAATGCTAACCGGTATTTGACAGTACTTCACCATTTCAAAGTGTTATGCGGAACTCAGCTAACAAGACCACACAATAAAATGTTCCTTTGAGGTTCATGGGCAAGTCTTGCTCTTTCTTTGAGAAAAGAGGAAACCCATACACAAAGGAAATGAAGCGACATGCCAAGACATCTAGCAAAGCAGTGGCCACTGCAAAAGGGAAGGGATCCAGTGGGACCTACACTTCTCATTTACACCCGGGCTTTTAACATCCATGTTCCTTTGCAATGTCTTAAGAAATTTCTTTCCTGCCACATTTTCATTTTCCTTCTGTCTTGGATGTTCTCCAGCCTCTGTTTTCTCCCCAAAGAAGAACCGCCTAGCAACAGGAGCCTACTGATCAGTGCTTGGAAAGCTATCAGGTTTTTTTTTTGGTCACCTTCCTTGATGTGCCCTTGTTGCGCACATGCTGCGTTTATTTGGAGAACTGCCACAGATGCATTGTCTGCTTGATTTTATTACAATAGTTGTATTATTTTGTGTGTGTTATGTGTTAACCAGTGGAATTAAAGGCTGGGGACTTGGATCTAAACACACACATTCTGCTGTTTAGCAAACTCTCCACATCAGTGATTGCCCACAAAAGAGGCAGCATGTAAATAAAAGGCCAGTGCTCCCCACCTTTTACTTTACTCCCTGGCCTTTTCTTGGTGCTCAGAGAGCCATGACACAGACTAGGTTTAGAGCAGGCAACTTGTTAATCCCCTGCCTGCGACAGAGAATAAAATGGCATTT